TAAAGTAGAGAGTTTTTTTAAACAATCAAAAAGGTTTCATGTAGGGGTGCAAGTTAGGTACCCAACTTGAAGAATTTACACAGCATCAGGCCCAAGCCCTCAGGCAGGGCCCATTCAGATTTTAACAAATACTCAGCCCAAGCCCACCTAAGTTGCAGTCCTAGTGTCATATCATCAGTTTTGTGTCTGTATCTGTGCAGTTGTTTCCTTCTCCTACACCCAACCTTTCCACAATAGGCGCAAACCAAAACTGCATGCCCAAAGGACCATGAAACTTTGGTGTCTATTGAGTTTCTTGACAAAAGACCTCCCTGAGTTTCCTTTTTTAACCACAAACTTCACTCCAGGTGAGGGGCAGCCACATGAAATTCTATTAACCATTAGCAAATGGAAAGATATTAATAACAGGGAGGACTTGGAGATTGAATCACTATCTGACAGAGGCTAGGGATTCTTTGGACTGCTTAAATGTTAATTTAGTTTGGATTCCTAGGGAACACAATCATACTGCGGATGGCTTAGCCAAATGTGGTGTGTATTTGGAGCATTTGTATAGCAATAAGCTTCCTCCTTTGTAATTTGTAGGTGTTCTTCCCCCGTTTTGTACATCTTCTCATGTACCTCCTCTTTATTTAATGAATTCTGGTTGAATTTTCTCAAAAAAAATAAAATAACAGGGAGGACTTGGCCCGCCTTGCCCCAAAAACCCAGAGAGAACAATCCACTTCCTCACAAACTCAATCCCACCCAAATACAGAGTAGCACACACACACACACACAAAAACCATAGATTTAATCAATAGGCAAAGAAGGGATTACACTCCATGTCTTTTAAATTCTCAATATATTCATGTTTCTTCTTCCAAGATGGTCTGAAGTATGAACAGAGAGTACGATTTCACCAGGCTGGGGTAGTGCCTAGCCACATACAGGTTATAAGGAACACAGGGCTGCCTTTCCACCCAGCTTGAAGTACAAACATGTCCAGCCCCCTGTCCATTTGCCACTGGGCCTGAATTATTATTTTTTATCAATAACAGAATTTCATTAGAACTATAATAAAACAAATACTCCAGACTCTTCATTTTTTGCTAAAAGGGTCATTTAACAAACTTCCTGAATGACTAGGAAAAAAATGTTTCACATAGCAATTGGTAATTTTGAGCCCAAAAGGATTCCCTGTGTACCTCTCCCCATCCCATATCTGTGAAAAAAATTTCAGCCCAAAAGACCTTTCCATGTTTTCAAAATAAGTCCTTCATGGGCAAGTTTATATCAAAAAATTAACTTTGAATGGTTAAGATGTGTTGGGAAAACCAGCAATACAAGATACTCCTTTTCATAGATAGGTCTCAAGGAATCAGAGGTGGACAATGTATTGTCTTTGATTCAATTAATTCAAAAGGTTTTCTTGGATCCCTGTAAGGTGGACTCTCGAATTTGGACCCTCTCTTCCTTTGGCTCCTTTACTTGTGCCTCTTTCTTAAAAGCCCTAACACAACCGTCTTCTAGTCCTGAACATCCCTTTCCTGCTAAAGTGTGGAGGAAACCAGTTCCACCTAGGGTTGGGGCACTTTGTTGGGAAATAGCTTTGGGAAGTACTAACACTTGCAATCAAATTCAAAGAAAGAAGCCTTTTTGGTGCTTGTCTCCTAACTGGTGTACTCTTTGTAAAGCCGATGGTGAGTCTTGTTACCACTCATTAATCTCCTGCCCCTTTGCTTCTTCTATTTGGGCTTGGTTTCTTTCTTTCTTTGGTCAGGTGGATTCCCCATCAAACATACAAAGCCTTTTCAACTCTTATGCTAGTAACTGGACTAAGAAGAGGGGAAGAATCCTGTGGAAGTGTACAAGAGAGGTGATTTGTTGGACAAATTGGGAGGAAAAGAACCAAAGAATCTTTGCTGAAAAAGAGAAAAGTAGAGAGGCAATCATAGAAGTGATCACTTTAAGGGTGGTCCATTGGGTAAAAACAATGATGATGTTTAATGGCATTCCCATAGAGACCATTTTGAATAATTGGCAGGAAGTAGCAGCCTCAGCTCCAAGTAGAAGCATTGCTAGACCCTTATGGTCTCCATCTTGTGCAAGCTGTATCATGCTCAACTTTGATGGCAACATTGAAGATAACCCAGGGCCTTTAGGGGTTGGTGGTGTCTTTGGGTCGGAGGAAGGTTCAGTTATAGCTTATTTTTTTTGGCCCAATTGGTTTTGGGGACTCGCTGAGAGCAGAAATTTTGGCCTTGATAGAGGGTGTGAAAAGGGTTAAGGAGCTAAATTTTAACAGGTTAATCATTGAAGGAGATTACAATATGGTAATGGGATGGTTAGGGAAGGAAGAGGATGGATTGTGGACATATATCAATGAACGAAGGCAATTCAAGTGGCTAACTCAGGGTATGGAAGTGAGATTGCAGTGGGTTAAAAGATGTGTCAATCCATTTGCAAACGCACTTGCCAAACAAAGGGTGGGAAGAAATCATTTGTTTTGGGATACATTGTAATTTCTCTTTGGGTGAGAGTTAAGAGAGTTTACCCACCCCCACCATTGTACTTGAATTTTATCTTTTCCATACAAGAAGTTGTGATTTAAAAGGCGTTCCTAGGCACACAGGGAAGGCACATTTTAGGGTATGCACCTTGCCTAGGTCCTAGGCATAGTATTTTCAGGCCAGGTGTGCACCATTTGAAAATCTGTGCATTTTTGCTCATTCATTCGTCCTAATAAAAGATATTTTTAAAGGACACTTAAAAGTTATAAAACCTTTTTTATAGGGACTGAGAATTTAAGACCCTGATATGGATTTGTTTGGGCTTGCCACGAGGGGCTCGGTACAAAGATGGCTCGTAGAATCAGGAGTGCATAATGTTTAACATCACATTAGCTATTTGAAGTAATGCAAATGGAAAAAAAAATAAAGAGATTAACATGCTTGAATACGTTTTTAAAAGCATTTATTTTAAAATTTAAATTTATATTTTAATTAATAATGTGTTTAATATTTTTCTTTTTTGTTTTTGATTTTTTTGGCATTTTTTGAATTTTTTAGAATTTTTTAGAATTTTTTGCATTTTTATGTGGCTGCGCCTTGCTTCAAAAAGGCACACACCTCACCTTGCACCTTGGGTGCAAAAATGACCCTTGCGCTTTTTTTGCACCTTGCGCTTTTAAAACACTGAAAAGAAGATGAAGAGGCAACAGAATCAAGAAAATATCAAAATATCTCATGTCCAATATCTTGACATTGATGACAAAGACCAAAAATCTGAACCAAAGGATAAACTATTCATGTCTTCATACATTTTTTGGAAAGTAAGGTAACTTGTATTAGTTCTGTGTTTCAAAAAATTAAGATTACAAGTATAGCACGTCTCAATCCCAAAATGTAATGGCAAAGTATCCAATTTGCACATAAAGAAAGTGTATTGTAGGAAAAATAAGAGCTAAATGGTGCTGTCCCTGGAGCTGTTATGAACAGAAAGCCAGGAATGAACCACCCCCACAGCCTTTCTCATCACTTCATCCTCCATAGATGTGTTCTCAGATATCCATGTATTCCTCCTCATTTGTAATATCCAAATGCTTGTAAGGGGAATAATGCTCCACAAAGCCTTGCCTTTTTAAGCCCTTTAATCCTCTATCCTGCTGGCAGGTCAGGGATCATTGTGAGAAAAATCAATTGTGCTGAAATATCAACCAAAAATGTGTCCAGATGAAGTAATTCAAATGAGCAATGAAAGAATAGGTGATCTGTTGTCTCCAACTCCTGAGGGAAAAATCCACAACTGGCAGATGGAATTCCCACAATTCTTTTTTTTATTGGAAACAGTGACTTTCATTAAATTAGCAAAAGGAAACATACAATATCAACCACTCACAGCATGAGTGTTGACTGTTGACCCCATATTTTATCTCAAGATTTACAATACAGCCCAAAAGAGATTTTCCCTTCGAGTCCCCTACTTTGCCAAAGTATCGGCCACACTATTGGCTGACCTCCTTGTCCAATTTATGATTACTCAGCTTCCCATGTTAAGCAAAAATCTCCCTCACCTGCTGTCTAAAAGTCCACAGCCCAGACTTTTTGTCTGCAGCCATCCCATTAACAACTTAAGACTCTCCCACCACCTCATAGTTTTGGAACCCCCATTTCTTGGCCAGCCCCAGTCCTTGAAGTAGGGCCATAATATCTCAGCTCTTAAAGAATCTCCAACACCTATTGGGCCAAAGTATAGTGCTATCTCTGCCCTCCCCATCTCTGAATACTCTCCCCAACTCCCAAGGGTCCCGGATTGCCCAAAAAAATTTCCATCAAAGTTCAATTTTATCCTTTGAAGTGCTGCAAGTAACCATTGAGACTGAAGTCACTGAACCACATTCTTAGTTGTTGAAAGATTTGCCACAATCAACCAGCCTCTAAAAATGTCCCCAACTGAATAATCTTTGAATAATTCAGTTGATTTCAGCCAATGTATGACTTTAATAAGTATGCAATCAGTGACTTGTCCCTTGGAAAATTCTGTTATTTCTCTCTTCCTATAATGATCAGAGTAGCAGTTCTCGTGGCTCTCCACATCACCCTACCTCTTTTCTTTGGTAGTCTAAAGGAGCTTGGTTCAAAAAGGCTTGCCACATCAGGAGGGGTCCACTTGCAACCAAGAGAAGAAAACCAATTCCAAACAAAAGAAGCAAAAGGACAAGATAATAATAAATGTGTAATTGTCCCACCACAGCCCAACAAACATGAGGGGAAAGGCAGCAATTTGACCTTATTTTTTGTAGTTTATCCAAAGTGTTGATTTTTTGGAGTACCACCTCTGACTTCCCAACAAAAAACCCTTATCTTTGGGGGTACAGGGTTACACCAAACTTCCTTTGTGGGAAAAGAACCTGCCATGTTAGGAGACTAAACGAGGGCAGTGAAGAAGGAAGCACACGTAAAATAGCTAGAGAAGGACACCAACCAAAATCTGTTGTTCAAACAAGAATGATTCAGGAACACTATACTGAGAAGAGAAATGAGTTCGTTAATGCAGGAGCTGAAGAATCAAATATGGAATTTTCTTTTTCTTTTTTTTTTCTTTTTTTTTATATTTGGACAGTATGGGTATTTTCGTCATTTTACCTAGTCCTGTGTGGGGCCTGGGATATAACATCTTTTTCCTCTAGTTTAGTAGGGCTTATCTTTCAATTTTCAGTTTATTTGCATTAGTAGATAGAAAGTTATTGTGTTTCTTGATGCACAAGACAAGGAGTGGCATTTTTGTAATTGTGGTGAACAGTATTCCGGGCCACAAGTCACTCTATATAAATAGATGGATTCCCTTCCTTTTGAGGCTAATGAATGAAGGAAGATTTCTTAAGAGCTCTCTTGCTGTATGGAGTGATTCCTACAAACCCTATAGTGATTCTAGGACCCCTTGGAGTGATTCCTTGGGATTTCTCTCTTTTCTCTTTCTCTACCCTTTCTACTCTCTCTTCCTCTCTCTTTCTGTCTTGTGTTAGTTTATTCCAGCCCTACTACATCACTCTACCCTTTCTACTCTCTCTTCCCCTCTCTTTCTGTCTTGTGTTAGTTTATTCCAGCCCTACTGCATCATTCGTCTACCAACCCCATTTCAGACTCCCATAACCCTCTCCTTGGTCCCAAGCATGGTTTCAAATGTTGCTAATGTCGCCTGGCATATGTCAATGTCGAGGCTCACCAACATGGAAATGGATGGTAATATAAAAATTACATTATTTCAGTCGACATTTCCTATATTTCGGAAATGTCGACCAAACCGGTCCAAATAACCAAAAAAAAGACAGTTTTTCCTATTATGTCGATAGGATGTCGACTAATGTGCATTAATAATATAATATATTAGTATATTATATTAATATAATAAATATATTAATATAAATCATTCCATTAACAATTTCTATTTAATATTTCAAACAAAATATTTATAAAAAAGAAATAACAATATATAAAAATAAAATAATAAATTAATTACTTTATAATATAAAACATAAAATATTTTTCAAGTAATAAAATATWAACTAGTTAGTATTTTTTAAGATATTTATTAAAATCAGAAAATGTTTATTGTATTTTATAATAAATCATATTCTACATTTAATATAAAAAATCAGAATAAATTTATTARATTTTATACTAAATCATAATTTATTATAAATTTAGTATTAAAAATCATAATAAATTCATTAAGTTTTATAAGAAATCAAAATTTGTCATAATCTTAATACTACAAAAAGGACAATCAGTTTATTAAATTTATAATAAAGCACAATGTATTATAACTTTAATATTTAAAAAAAAAACAGAATAAATGTATTTCTATTTACTAGTGTGAAATAAATATTTTAGAATTTATAATAAATCAGAATCAAAAATAAGAAAAGAAAATATCAGATAACCTTGTAAAAACATCAAAATGCATAATAAATCAGTAAATCATCATTTACTAATTTGTTATTGATCTTAGTTTCTTAGCTTTATATAATGGTTGGGAATAAGACAATAGTCTAGAAATATGTATTAATGCTTCTTTTATCATTTTACAAAATGCCATTGCATATTTCCACATATTTCATAATACTTCCACAATGTCTCTAATTTTTACAATATTTCCCCTTGACATCTCCGACATTTCCGACATATGTCCTATATTTTGGTAAGTGACATTCCCATCAACATCGACATTTTAAACCTTGGTCCCAAGTCCCAAGAATTTTCATTACCAAGAACGTTCGAAATTGCTCTCCCTTTGTTTAGGGAAAGGGAATAGATAGACGGAAATCTATCTTTGAGAGGAATTCCCCAACCAAACATCTTCCCAGAACCGCACTTTATTGTCTACACAAGCATCATAGCTCATATACGGAAGAAAGAAAGGCAATAAACCATGGATCACTTCCCTTGGAGAAGACCAAGATGCCCTAGGGTCAAGGCCAGCATCCCACCCATTGTCTGCCATGCCATGAATACTCACAATCACTTTATGCCACAAATTATCTTGTTCCAAGGGAAAATCTCCACAACCATTATCCTAGTAGTGCTACATTCCTTAGTCTAATATTTCCTATCCCTAGACCCCCTTATTATCCCTACTTCTAGACACTACCCCCCCCCACTCCACTAAGTGATCTTTCTTTGCACCCTTAGCTCCCACAAGAAGTCCCTCATTAATTTCTCTAGTTGGTTGGCCACCTTGGTGGGGATCCTAAAGGTAGATAAATAGTAGACTAGCAAATTGGTCAAAATTGACTTTATTAGTGTTATTCTTCCTCCGGCAAACGGTGTAATTTCTTTTCCACTTTGCTAGCCTTTTGTGAACCTTTCCATTACTGGATACCAGAAGCTATCAGAGTTTGGGTCCCCCCCAAAGGTAGTCCCAAGTACAATAGTGTCCAGTCTCCTACCTCACAACCCAACGACCTAGCAAGGTTTTCTACCTCCTCTCTCTCTCTTTATTTATTCCTACTACGCAGCTCTTGCCCCTAGAAACCCTTTCAAAGTGAGTTACTAGCCTCTATAGATGAGTCAGTTCTTCCTTTTTCCCTTCACAAAAAAATAACAATATCTTTTTTCTAGAAAAGGTAACGAAATATTTATTGAATCAGTACAAGCTGAGATAAGTCCCAGAAAGGCAAACTGAGCAACTCAGCAATTACATACTCCACCAAGAACTGGAATGAAAAACAACAGACAAATTACAATTTCTGAACTCCTCAGAGACTAACACCCAAGAGATTAACTTGTCCACAGCTTTCTGGATTAAATCTTCTGGACTTGAGGCCTTATTACAGAAAAGCCTAGTATTCCTCTCAGACCAGATGGACCATAAAACAGCACAAGGAATAGTCTTCCACACTATCTTCCTTTTCTTGCTAAGTCCTTTGATGTTCCAGCAACACAAAAGCTCCTTTACCGATCTTGGCATAGCCCATCTTAAGTTCATGGAGCTGAAAAAGTGATTCCACAGCTGAGAAGAGAACGGGCAGTGAATGCACAAATGATCAGTAGATTCAAAATTGTTCCCACACAGAGTGCACGAAAGGTCCAGAAGCTGAATGCCCCTTCTCACAAGATTAGCTCTAGACAGACATTTATTCAGAACCATAGTCCATACCAGAAAGTTGAATTTAGATGGGCTAATGGGATTCCAA